TTTTGATTGAATCCGCGCGAGCCGTGACGTGGTGATTCGCTGGGTAAATGATAGTACCACTGCCTTGGCTGTTTATGGCAATCCAACGATCGGTTTGGCTAGACAAAGCAAACATCTTCACTGATCGCTAATCATTTTTTGCGCAGCGCGAGGGGCACTCGCAACCATCCATCGCCCATCTTGATTCAAGCGAAGTTCACGGCAGAGAGGTATCCAGTTTTCTTTCTCTGGTTTCAAGCCCTTTTTCTGATCGGCCACTCTTCGTACAGACTTGGAGCCTCCGACATCCGCCCAAGCTGCTCAACGCATATGATCGTCGTGACAGAGCACAGAACAAGGTGAGATTCACGGTCCAAGAGAAGGAGGAGCGCAAGCAGCGGTTGCTGGCCAGAGAGAAGCTGCGAGAAGAAACCTGTGGAGGCGAGTGAGCACTCACTATGAAGTAGTCGATTGAAGAAACTTTCGTGGCCGATGAAGCGTCTTCTGGAAAGTCTCTACTTCTTGACTTCTGGCAAGCCTTGGATCTCTGGGACGGAGGACATGTTGATACTGCAAAGACCAGTAGAACGTTTGCTGGTGATGCGATTGTCACCGCGTGGTTGAGGTTGGTTTGTTACCACGAAAAAACCCCTCTTTGTCACTGAGAAACCCATTGTCGCCTTTGCTAAAACCCCTACTTTGCCAAATCTACGCACTCAAGGCATTTGCTCGTCAAGAAAATCTGCAACTTTTCTAGGCTCACGCCATGGAAGAGTGTTCCATGTTGCTGGATTTCTCAACCCAGCACTAGCATCAAGATCTCTTTTGCTCCGCCCTCCAGAGTGTGCTTCTCAAGTTAGCAAGTCACAAGCTCTCAACAATGCAAAGGCCAGATGGGTGTTAAGTATGCTTCCACATTGCACTACTCAAGCTTGGATGAGCTTTGTTTCTCTTAACAAAGCCAACTCCCATTCTATCTGATGTAGCAGGGGGCAGGAGCTTTCTTGTGTGACTAGAGATGCTTTGTTGGACAAGGAAGCCCCCCTATGCCGCTCAAATCTAGCCCACTGTCTCATCCATGTCGGTGTTGCAGACGAGATTAGAGCAACAAGTTTCTTCCTCCTCTTCCTCTCTCATCACTGCAGCAGTAGCAACAAACATGGTGGAGTGACCAAAATTTTGTGACATGGATTATTTATGTATTTGCAGATGTCCAAAATGGGAATCTGCAAAATGTGATGAAAAACATGAGAATGATCGGTTTCAAACCCATTCGGGTTTGGAATTTTGTGCTGCAAACACTAATTATGCATAGCTATACTAAGTATGTATGGAAACTTTTTTTGGCAAAAAAAAAAAAAGATCAAACAACATGGAACACAATCATGACTGCATTTCCCAGGAAGGGCATTTTTACAAAGTTGCACAAGTTCAAGACAAAATGCCTAAGCTGAGGGGGGCATTTACTCTATATCAATTCTAGATCAATTGTAAACTTGGGACATGTGCTCTATGCTTCTACAACATTCTAAAGTGGGGAACTAAGTGCATATTTGAAACCATACAGCAAGATTTTGTTACAATGTATTGAGTTTCTCATCCAAATGTGGTGGCTTTTGCTTCCCGACACCCCAAATGGTCACTTGAAGAATACTTTGCGAAAACCAGAATGCAAGATGTTAAAGGAGTTCACGAGATTCTCATCAATGGAAATTCTCCAGCAAACCAAGAGAAAGCCGCAAAGGCTTTAGAGTTTCTCTATAGCTATTGGTCCATTGCAATTTGTGGGGAGAACCTACAATTCAAACTAATGATATTGAGAAGACTATGATTGTAGAGACTCTTGTTTGCTCATTGTGTGGAAGCCTTGGAAGGCCGTGGAAACACAAGTTCTTTTTTTTATAACAATTAACCAAAGCATGCTAGGGTGGGAAAAGATGCATTTAAAGAGATTGAGCATTAGGAATCCTATAGTAAACTTCCAGACGAAATTCAAGGATTGGCAGAGGCCTATTGCAAGATTTGTTTAGTGGTGGGCAAGCTCTTGCTATGAGCTTGCTTGCTTGGAACATGATGATCATTGACCTTGTGTTTGACAGCATCCCAGAGAAGAACATTGTCTCCTGCGTCAACGTCGACCAAGCACTGTCCCTGTGCCCGAGCGTAAAGCTTCGAAACCAAGATCCTGGTTTACTAGAACTCGATGCTTGGAGCCTGGGCTATTTCAGGATGTTGTCAAACACAAGGTCAAGCAAGCAGGCTTACAGCAAGAGCTTGCCCATCATTAGACAGATCTTGCAATAGGGTTTTGCCAATCCCCGAACTTCGTCTGGAAGTTTACCATGGGATTCCCAGTGCTCAATCTTTTTAAGTACATCCTTTCCCACCCTAGCATGCTTTGGTTTGATCTTATAAAAAAAAGAACTTGTGTTTCCACGGCCTTCCAAGGCTTCCACACAATGAGCAAAAAAGAGTCTATAGAATTGTAATCTTTTCAACGTGATTAGTTTAAATCGTAGGTTCTTCCCACAAATTGCAGTGGACCAATGGCCATAGAGAAACTCCAAACCTTTGCGGCTTCCTTTTGGTTTGTTGGAGAATTTCCATTGATGAGAATCTCGTGAACTCCTTTAACATCTTGCATTCTGGTTTTCACAAAGTATTCTTCAAGTGACGAGTTGGGGTCTTGGGAAGCAAGGGCCACCACATTTGGATGAGAAACTCAATACATTGTAACAAGATTTTGCTGTACAACTTCAAATATGTGTTTAGTTCCCCACTCTAAAATGCTGTAAAAGCACAGAGCACATGTCCCAAGTTTACAATTGGTCCAGAATTGATATGGAGCAAATGCCCCCCTCAGATTAGGCATTTTGTCTTGAACTTTTGCAGTTTCGCAAAAATGCCCTTCTTGAGCAAATGCAGTTATGATTGTGTTCCATGTTGTTTGATCTTTTATTTTCATTGCCAAAAAAAGCTCCCATGCATACTTAGTATGGCTATGCATAATTAATGTCTACAGCACAGGGGGCTTCCTCATCCAGCAAAGCTTCTTCGGTCACCCAAGAAAGCTCCTGCCCCCTATTGCATCAAATAAGATGGGAGTTGGCCTTGCTGAGAGAGACAAAGCTCATCCAAACTTGAGTAGTGCAGTGTGGAAGCATGCTAAGCGCCCGTCTAGCCTTTGCATTGCTAAGAGCCCGCAACTTGTCAACTTGAGAAGCACACTTTGGAGGGCGGAGCAAGAGAGATCTTGACGGTGGTGCTGGGATGAGAGATCCGGCAACATGGAATGCTCTTGCATAGTGTGAGCCCAGAAAACTTGCAGATCTTCTCGACAAGCAAATGCCTCAAGTGTGTCAACTTGGCAGGCAAAGTAAGCGTTTTAGCAAAGGCAACAATGGGTTTCTCACTAACAAAGAGGGGTTTTTCAAACCAAACTCAACCACGGGGTGACGATTGCATCACCAGCAAACGTTCTACTAGTCTTTGCAGTATCAACATGTCCACCATCCCAGAGATCCAAGGCTTGCCAGAAGTCAAGAAGGCCTAGAGACTTTCCAGAAGACTCTTCATTGGCCACGAAAGTTTCTTCAATTGACTACTTCATTGTGAGTGCTCACTTGCCTCCCCAGGTTTCTTCTCGCAGCTTCTCTCTGGCCAGCGACCGCTGGTTGTGCTCCTCCTTCTCCTGGACCGTGAATCTCCTTGTAGGCGGATGTCAGAGGCTCCAAGTCTATAAGGAGGGAGCTGTGGTGGCTTTGATGCAGGGTTGTCGTGAGCGGCTTTCTCCCGCAAAGAAAACTCTCAAAGCTCCGGTATCCTTCTTCTTCGTCCCTGCAAAAACTGTGCCACCATAGCTGAGATTTTAGGGCTCTTGCGAGAAGCGCTAAAAAAACATTTCAATGACGCCAAGCAATAAAGCGCACTGGGAAGTAGAAAATCTAGAAACCCGTTTTCGTTGGGGCGTGGATCCTTTTGTGGATTCGTCTTGGAACGGGAAGGCGCCGGCTGGAATTGGATCATCGGTATTGGATCATCGGTAGCTGCTGCTGCTTGCGATGGCGCTGCTCTTCGTTGATGCGGAACGGCACGAGGAATTTGAACTTTGAAGAGCCTCAAGAAAATGATGGTTACAAGGAAGGCGATTCAAACCGCGACGCGTTTGGAATTTTCGGGAGTGGGCCGGATTCGAGTCCGCGACCGGCGGTGACACGTCACCCGTCCACGACCACCTCTCTCTCAAATTAGTTTCGCCACGAATCCATTCCATGCCGTTCTCCAAGATTGATAGCTATATTGTAGTGATTTTTGCTCTCGCTCGATCAATCGTGATGTCCCAGGGAACTCTCTCAACGCAGGGGGAACGACTTCAGCTATGAACAGCTAAAGGCATACATTTTCCGGGAAGTGATTCTTTATTCTTCTGTGTGTTTGCATTGAATCTACACAGATTCAATGGCGAGGGAGGACGAGCATTCCTGCTCTCGTACGTTGGGCCCCAGGGCTGCATCCCATACTCCCTCACAAACTCCAAGTGGGCTACGATCAAGCCGGGTGCGCTATCAAGTCATGCAGCACTACAATGAAATGAGATAAAATGTCATTCTGTTTCGCTAGTCTTAATTGTTCAAGCAGGCTTTGAAAGCAACCTCCATAGCCAGCTCCCAGGCAGCACTATAATCTACATCAACACTTACGACATAAAATACTCGCTCACCCTCAAGCAAGAACATAGGCTGTCAACGTGTTTCTGACCATAGTTGACTTTACAGGATTCCAGTTTGCCACCGGGATTGGAGGGAACTACAACTACAACTTTGAGGTGCAATGCGGGCAGAGCAAAGTGATGGTGGGGAAGACGGTGGCGTCAACGACTTGTAAGAATCCATCCACCGAAGCAGCAAACCGGATCATCACGAGGCAAATCTTGAGTGGAAGCTTCTTTGAGCCCAGTCTCCCCTTGGGCGTGCTGTGCACACTCAAGAACATATAATCGTTTGGATTCATAAACTTTGATGAACATCTAACACTACAACTATTGTTCTTTTGAATCCAATCCAACACCCATCAAGCACTGTTGGTTGGAAGGGAATGCGCAGTGGAATGAGAGAAGGCTGCCTGGTGACACCGCAAAGACAAAAGGAAGAAATGCCATCTTCGTGAATGGCTGCCAAAGCTTGTGTACATCCAATCCCGTCAGCTCTGACCGCCAGTCAACCCGTCAGTAAACATAGTCAACATTATTCAACGCGGGTCAATAGCGGCAAGCCAGGGGTCACTCTCGCAAGAAGCTAGCGACTTCGTCCAAGACAAGGACGGATTCCTGGCAGCTATCGTCCCCACGAGGTAGAATCCATGGGAAGCGTTTTCATACTCGATGAGCTTCACGGCATTGCCAGCGTCTTCTAAGATCTTTGCAAACTCTACCTGGTGATCGTGGAGGACATCCTTGCCGCCCACCACCACTAGCGCTCTCGCCAGTCCCCTGGCCCCCAATCTCGCGAGATCTCCAGGTAATTCCAGCGTCATGTTGCAAGATGGATGATCGCGGTCGACCGCTCCCTCGGGGAGCGCCGCCAGCCAGCAAAAATCGGTGATGCGTAGCGTGATCATCGGGTCGGAGGACCCAGCCTGAGCTCCGACTCGGTCCTGGACGTGCCTCCATAGAAGGGCTGGAGGAGGATCTGGCCGGCGAGCGGGATTCCATCCTGGGCAGCGCGCAATGCCACGCGGGCTGCGAGATTTCCCCCGGCGCTGTCGCCCATAACGAAGATCTTGGAGAAATCCGCGTGAGCGAAAGCGTCTTGATCGCTGCTGCTCTTGGCGATCTCTCGGACCCAGTTGAGGGCGTCGTAGCCATCGTCGTAGGCCGCCGGGAGCCTGTGCTCCGGAGCTAGGCGGTAATTCACAGACACCACGATCGCTCCCAGCTTCCTGGACAGGGCCTCGCAAAATCTGTGAAAGATCGCATTCGCGGCGCTCATGTAGACGAATCCTCCCCCGTGGTAGAAGATGACGATGGGCAGCGTGCGGTTCTCCAGCTCTTCCAGACGGAAAACTCTCACCCAAAGTCCCCGATCCTTGTCGAGAATCACGTCGCGGCTCGCCACGCCGTCAATGGACGCGGGATTGGCGGGAACCTCCGCAAAGAACCACGCAGGGCCTGTTGGTGGAGAGCCATCCTCTGCAAACACAAAGCCTCCAATTTGATTGCCAGAGCTCTGCGCTCCTCGTCGCCCATTTTTCGGTGCTAGGTGGGTGGGCCTTCCGGTCTCACAACGACACATTTAAATCATTGAAATGCCCGACTTGTCGGTTTGCGGAAATTCTAAAGCTTTCTTTTTCGTTTCTAATATACACATAATTAAAAAAAAACTAATTAAAAGCTCTCTAAGCATGTTTTAGCTTGTCTACTTAAATACTTAATTTAATTAATAACTACATACTTAAAAAGCTCTGGAGAATCTGCGATTTTGGGTGGTTACAGGCAGTGGCAGTATGCGGGCTTCTATGGCGTTGTGGAGTTTGCTCTGTGCAGGTTAGAGCACAGGATCCAGCGGGTGTGGCGCAATGCATGCAAGTAGGCTAGTGTGAGTGAATACACCGTTGCCAAGGCCGTCATCTGCGAGAGGCCCTTGTACCTGAGTGATGACTTGTGCTACGAAGGTATTTGGAGCGACGACCTCACGTACACCAACGTTTGCCTTTGCGTCGACAGCTACAAGAGGAGGCTCAGGTTCTTGTCCACCAGTGGCTCATGCTCGCAGCACCTGAAACTGAACAACTCCTCCCACTCATGCGCCAGCACCCGCGCATCAAACACCAGCCACGCCTGCATCTCCAGCGACCCAACACCACCAAACAGGTCCAGCTCCACCCAAAAAACGAGCTCTTGCCGAAACTTTCGTGATCCCGGGCCACGCCCTCGGATCTCACAGTGTATGCTGGGCTTGGCCCTGATGTACTTGATCAGAGGCAGGCTAAGCAACGGCATCTCCTGCCGCCGCTGCTGCTGCTGCTGCTGCTGCTGCTGGAGCTCTTCCTATGCCGGATGTTGTTTTTGACGAAAAGTGTGGTCCTTTTGATCAGGAGAAGTATGACGAACTTGTCGAGCATCTGGAAGCGGGAAAGATGATCGTGGCGTGTGGTGGCTTTCTGCTTGGCTGGGGAATGCATGCATGGATCTCTTCAACTTTCAAGTGGGGGGTGAGGAGGAGCTGATCAAGCGGTACGGTGAGCTCAGATTCAAGGTGAATCCCAAGAGAAGACAAGCATATGACCACAACACCGAATGAACACAAGTCTTGGTTGGATAGATGGACTTTGGTAATAGAGTTTGTGTAGCTTACCTCTTCCTATATGAGATTCATGAGTGATCTTGGACGAAAATTTACAACACGGAGCTAGCGTGGTAATGGAGCCAAGGCTACCACAACTGGGGTGGCCCTCAGGCTTCTTTTCTTGCGAAGAAGAGCCTTCTGCGTCAATTTTTCTGGAGTGAGATGGCCTTGCTCGGCTCTGTTGACGTAGAGATGTCCATATGATCTTTTCTGGCATGCTGCCAACCACTGAGTTTTCATCAGCTCCGATAACCGGCCATCAACCATTGCATAGAGATGATCCTTCTCGTGCTGGACGCTGTGATCAACGACTGAGGTCTTGTCCAGGCAACCGCCGACAATGTCGCTTGGCCTGCTACCGTCCAAGAGCATGCACTCGGAGAAGAACATCGTCTCCTGCGTCAACATCGACCGAGCACTGTCCCTGTGCCCAAGCATAAAGCTTCGAAACCAAGATCTTGGTTTACTGGAACTCGATGCTGGCCATTTCAAGTGCATGCTCTTAGCAGGCCAAACGACATTGTCGGCGGACAAGACCTCAGTCGTCGATAACAGCATCCAGCACGAGAAGGATCATCGCTATGCAACGGTCGATGGCTGGATATCGGAGCTGAGGAAAACTCAGTGGTTGGCAGCATGCCAGAAAAGATCATATGGACATCTCTATGTCGACAGAGCCGAGCAAGGCCATCTCACTCCAGAAAAATTGACACAGAAGGCTCTTCTTCGCAAGAAAAGAAGCCTGAGGGCCACCCTGGTTGTGGTAGCCTCGGCTCCATTACTGCGCTAGCTCCCCGTGTGTGTGTGTGTGTTGTAAATTTTCGTCCAAGATCATGAATCTCATATAGGAAGAGGTAAGCTACACAAACTCTATTACCAAAGTCCATCTATCCAACCAAGACTTGTGTTCATTCGGAGTTGCGGTCATATGCTCGTCTTCTCTTGGGATTCACCTTAAACCTGAGCTCACCGTACCGCTTGATCAACTCCTCCACACCCCCCACTTGAAAGTTGAAGAGATCCACACATGCATTCCCTGGCCAAGTGGAAAGCTTGTTGAAGCCGCAACACACCGCGATCATCTTTCCCGCTTCCAGCTGCACGACAAGTTTGTCATACTTCTCCTGATCAAAAGGACCACAATTTTCATTGAAAACAACATCAGGCGTGCTCAGGTTCTTGTCCACCAGCAGCTCATACTCGCAGCACCTGAAACCGAACAACTCCTCCCACTCGTGCGCCAGCACCCGCGCATCAAACACCAGCCGCGCCTGCATCTCCAGCGACCCAACACCACCGAACAGGTCCCGCTCCACCCAAGAAACCAGCTCTTGCCGAAACTTTTGCAATCCCGGGCCACGCCCTCGGATATCACGGGGTATGCTGGGCTTGGCCCTGATGTACTTGATCAGAGGTGGACTAAGCAACGGCATCTCCTGCTGCTGCTGCTGCTGCTGGAGCTCTTCCTGGACTGCCTCTATCGATGTCGGCCTCCTCTTGTAGCTGTCGACGCAAAGGCGAACGTTGGTGTAAGTGAGGTCGTCACTCCAAATACCGTAGTAGCACAACTCATCGTCGCTTAGGTACGACAGCCTCTCCCGGACGATGGCGTTGGTGGCGGCGTATTCTCTCACATTGGCCTGCTTGCAGGCATTGCTCCACACCCGCTGGATCCTGTGTTCTAACCTGCACAGAGCGAACTCCACAGCGCTGTAGAAGGCCGAGTACTGCCACTGCCTGTGACCCAGAGTGTCGAGAACTTGACCCAAAATCACAGACTCATCCCAGAGCTTTCTCCTGAGTTGTGCCGCCATATCCTAGGGCACGATGCTTTGTGAGTTTAGCTAAAATGGATTAATCAGAGCTTTTAATTTGATTAAATAAGCCGTTTTCAGGGCAGTTAGCAAATCATTGTGTTATGTGATGTTTAGTTTGCATTTGTTTTTCTTTTCCTGCTGAATAGCAAAGGAAAAGCTATTGGTGAGATCTTCCACAAAAAAGACCCAGATTGTCCAGTACTAGATCCAGACTCATCCAACGCTCTCCTGAGCTGTGCCGCCATATCCTGGGAGAGCTTTAGGGCACGATGCTCAGTTACAAAGATTAGTCGTTGTGATTAAGTATGTTTAGTTATGTAGTATTAATTAACTTAAAGAGCCCTAAGTAGAAAAGCTTAAACATTCTTAGAGAGATTTTAATTTGATTTTTTTTTCATACCAGCGTAGAAACGAAAAGGAAAGCTTTAGAATTTCTGCAAACCGACAAGTCACGCTCTTGGCCATTTCAACGATTTAAATGTGTGGTTGTGAGACCGGAAGGCCGCCCACCTAGCACCGAAAGAATGGGCGACGAGGAGCGCAAGAGCTCCGGCAAGCAAATTGAAGGCTTTGTGTTCGCAGAGGATGGATCTTACGTGCGCACTCCTCCACCAACAGGCCCTGCGGGGTTCTTTGAGGAGGTTCCCGCCAATCCCTCGTTCATTGACGGCGTGGCGAGCCGCGACGTGATTCTCGACAAGGATCGGGGACTGTGGGTGAGAGTTTTCCGTCCGGAAGAGCTGGAGAATCGCAGCACGCTGCCCATCGTGATCTTCTACCACGGGGGAGGATTCATCTACTTGAGCGCCGCGAATGCGATCGTTCACAGATTTTGCGAGGCCCTGTCCAGGAAGCTGGGAGCGATCGTGGTGTCTGTGAATTACCGCCTAGCTCCGGAGCACAGGCTCCCGGCGGCCTACGACGATGGCTACGACGCCCTCAAATGGGTCCGAGGGATCGCCAAGAGCAGCAGCGATCAAGACGCTTTCGCTCACGCGGATTTCTCCAAGATCTTCGTCATGGGCGACAGCGCCGGGGGAAATCTCGCAGCCCGAGTGGCATTGCGCGCTGCCCAGGATGGAATCCCGCTCGCCGGCCAGATCCTCCTCCAGCCCTTCTATGGAGGCACGTCCAGGACCGAGTCGGAGCTCAAGCTCGGGTCCTCCAATCCGATGATCACGCTCGACACCACCGATTTCTGCTGGCTGGCGACGCTCCCCGAGGGCGCGGCCGACCGGGATCATCCATTTTGCAACCCGACGCTGGAATTTCCGGGAGATCTCGCGAGGTTGGGGGCCGGGGAACTGCCGAGAGCGCTAGTGGTGGTGGGCGGCAAGGATCTCCTCTACGATCGCCAGGTAGAGTTTGCAAGGATCTTGGAAGACGCTGGCAATGCCGTGAAGCTCATCGACTATGAAAACGCTTCCCATGGATTCTACGCCGTGGGGGACGCTAGCTGCCAGGAATACGTCCTTGTCTTGGACGAAATCGCTAGCTTCTTGCGAGAGTGACCCCTGGCTAACCGCTGTGGACCCGCGTTGAATAAAGCTGACTCGGTTGACTTACGGGTTGACTGGCGGTCAGAGGTCACGGTACACAAGCTTTGGCAGCCATTCACGAGGATTGCATTTCTTCCTTTTGTCTTTGCGGTGTCATCAGGCAGCCTTTTCTCATTCCACTGCACATTCCCTTCCAACCGGTGATGGGTGCTGGATTGGATCCAAAAGAACAATGGTTGTAGTGGAACAATGGACCAACGGATTGATGTTCATCAAAGTTTATGAATCCAAACAAATTATTAGACGTTCTTGAGTGCGCACAGGATGCCCAAGGGGAAACTGGGCTCAAAGAAGCTCCCTCATGATGATCCGGTTTGCTGCTTTGGTGTTGTGAACTCCATCCCAATTGAGATACGCAGATGGATTCTTACAAGTCGTTGACACCACCGTCTTCCCAGCCATCACTTTGCTCTGCCCACATTGCACCGCAAAGTTGTAGTTGTAGTTCCCTCCAATCCCACAGCAGGCCTTGTTGGCAAACTGGAATCCTGTAAAGTCAACTATGGCCAGAAACACGTTGACCGGCTATGTTCTTGCTTGGGGTGAGGGAGTATTTTATGTCGTAAGTGTTGATGTAGATTATAGTGCTGTCTGGGAGCTGGTTACGGAGGTTGCTCAAAGCCTACTTGAACAATCAAGACTAGCAAAACAGAATGACATCTCATCTCATTTCATCGTAGTGCTGCGTGATTTGGTTGAATTCGATAGCG